GGTAAGCACACCTTGGGGTGCTTACAAACATCATTAGAAATGGGCTAGTCCAGGTGCGAGAATTAGCCTATAAGGGCTAGAGTATGGGCCAAGCAGTTCTTTAAATGAATACAGTTTGTGTGTTGTTATTTCGGGCATAAGCTAGCCAAGCGGCCGGGGTGTTGGGGACGCAGCCCCGCCGCTCCTATTTCAACAGAAGTAAGCTGGTGTACTCGCTTTTATAGCTAACAAAATAGACTTCAACTATAATCTAATCCAAAGAATTAAGTAAAGATGCTACATACCATTAAAGCATATGGGATTAAAGATAAACAAAATAGGAAACAATAGGTTTCTCATAGTAAAAGGAAACCAAGATGAGACATGTATTTTAAATAGTCAGAAAAACCCTTGCAAAATAGCATAATTACTAAAAGTCCTTCCACCAAAAAGGCCAGGACCAAACACTTTTGGCATATTTTGGCATACCTGCTATTCAAAGAAAAGTTAAACACATACTCATCCAGTTATTCCAGAAAGTAGAAACAAAGGATCATTAACAAATTTATTTTATTAGTCCAAAATTACAATTATAGCTAAATCACAGACAAAAATATTATGAACACTGATGCAAAAATACTCATTATATAATTACAATCTGAATGCCATAATATTCCATGATTTTTACCATGACAAACTATGCTTTGTCCCAGATATGTAAGGATGGTTCAATGTACAAAATTCAAAAAATCTAATTGACCATATGTGGATGGTTGTCTTTACTCTCCTTCAGTGGAAACATTAAAGCTGTGAAATGTGTTTTCATTCCTGGTGCATCTACATTTTTTGTCATCTGCCTGGAGAAGGCTATTGCAGTCTCCCATCATCTTTAATCTTTGGACAATGTGGCGACAAGATACCCTAAAGGATTTCCTGCCCAACAACCATAATCTTTCTTACTTTTATTGTGGAGACTCAATTCAAATTTCTGATGGTGATCTTGATCCATCAGCCCTCCTAACACTGTTATTTCTTTCTCAGCCCGTTGTATTAAGGACATCAAAAGCTCAAAATGGCTTCGGAGAAGTCTGAGCTTCCATTGCATGGGATATTAGTTGTGGCTCCATTGAGAGGTAAGGCCTCCACACCAACTTCACCCTGAAAAAAAAACTTCCAGACCAAAAGGGCCTAAGGCCATGGGAATGGGAAGCAAAGTTTTCCCCCAGGAGTCGCTAGGGGAGATAGTGAGAGGAGCCATTCCCTTTTCTGCCTGGACCAATGGACATGGGCTAAGGAGAAAGCTGCCCCCTGCAGAACCCTGACCCAGCACTGGAGGCTGATGGTACTTCTTTAATTTTTCCTTGTGTCTTGAAATGTCCAGTCCATCTTTCTGTCCTGACATGTGTTTCAGGAAGTTGGGGAACACGGGAATATCAACTGAACACATCATAATGAGATGCAATAAGCATAGGCACAAGCTCTCATATCAAGGCTGGGGGAGTCCACCGGAAGGAAGAAAAGGTTCCCAAGATCAGACAAACAGGTCAGAGACTCCCCACAGTCCCACTCTTTAGGAGTCCCACAAAAACCCCCGAACAAAACAACCACAGTGTGCATACAGAGGACATAGTGCTGACCCATGCATCTGTGTGATTGCCTCTTCAGTTGCTGTGAGTCCCTATGATCCCCGTTTATCTGATTCTGTGAACCCTTTACTGCCATCAGCCATTGGAGAAGGCTAACCGATGACAGCTGGGCTAGGCACCAGTCTCTGAGTACAGCAATTTCTTAGGTATCGTTTCATTAACATTTGTGTGTGTGTGTGTGACTGTGAGGACCCTGCACAAACTTCCACAGCTGAGCAGGACTGGGCTTCTTCTAACAGAAAGACCACTGGAATCCACAAAGTGATTCTATAATTTTTATTCCTTTTCTATTGTATTGGGGTAAAATTTTGTCTACATAACTGAACATGGGTCCTCTACAAGAAGAACAATTGCTTTTGCCCACTGAGTCATCTCTCCAGGCTCCACAAACCGAGTTTAAAGGAAAAATGTCTTCATTCTCTTCCCCTTCTCTCATAAGAAAACATTCACGTTTGTTTTCTCCTTTGCTCTGAGCCCTTGATCATATGTTTTGCACAGTCCTATCCACACAGGTTTCTCCAAAGAAACCCTGTTGGGATGTGCTGGGGGCATTAGCTAAACTGAATCCCAGTTTCCAAATCACTGGACAAAAATCAAACCAGTACAGCAGCAAAGGAGAGGTTGCACAGAGTCCATCAGAGTTCATCATGGTTGCTCACGCACCCTGCCATTCTGTAGCACCAAAAATAAAAACCTAGAGATATAGGGGTACAAAGTGACAACCAGAAAAGCAAAGCAGCCAAGCCACTAGAGACGTCTGTCTTTCCTGTCTTAAGGCTGGGTGACTGTAGAAGAAGCAGATTATTAAGCCTCTCGCATCCCATTTTATATTACCTCTAGTGCTGGGATTTCCTAGGCTAGGATGGATGGAAGGTGTGAACCACCACCACCTGGGCTTGTTACTGCATTGATCTTGTTTAGATTAAGGTGCCTTTAAACCCACAGAGATCCGTGTTACTCTGTCTAACAAATCCTGGGATTAAATGTGTGTGTCACCATTGTCTGATCTCCAGTGGCTTCAGCTTTACTTCTGGTCTTCAGGCAAGATTTATTTATCAAAATACAAATAATAAACCACTACAATATTCAAGGCATTAATAAATGTATCAAAGCACTATTAAACCATGATGTCTTTCCCCGGAGTTGCTGTAATTGCTCCATGTACCCCACAGTCTGCCCAGGAGCCATCGGTATCAACACTGACCACTGCTTCTGGGATACACATATAGGGTACCGGTGACAGTTTCCTGGGATTGCTTCTGACGTTTCAGAGGGGGTTCCAGTAGATTGCATTGAGCAGAAGCCAGGGAGCTGTATGCTTCAGCCACCAAGTGGGGGCGTGAATCCACCATTAACTTCCAGCTTGCGGTCTGAGAGACCTCGGAAGCATGAGCTGTAATAAAATTCAGCACCTGTGTTTTCAGGTGCCCTGTGCTGTGGCGGTCAGCCAGGCAGAGAGCGTAGGCAGCATTCTTCACAGAGAGGTCCCTGCAGACAGCACTCTCGCACATGACCTTCAAACGCTCCAGGCCATACTTGTCAGCAGCTGCCAGCACAGAACCTGCTATCCTGTGGAGGACTGGTTCCTTCCCGGTGTAAATGAAGTCCATCATCGCCTTGAAGACTTCAGGTTTCAGGTCATGAATCTCAAATCGATTCTTTCTGCTCTCCTCCGTGTCGTGTTCAAACATGGCTCTGAAAACTGGAGAGCGAGCAGCTAAGATGGCCTTGTGAGCCCGGAATTCCTGGCCAGCTACCACCAGGCAGCAGTCTGTGAAGCTCGAATTCTTCCACAGCTCTCCTAGATCATCTCCTAATGGGCCTTTGGGAACCTGGCTTCTAGGCTCTGTGCTTTCGTCAGGGATACTGTAGGAGTATGGCACCAGGATCCCCATGCAGAGGAGGGTGAAGTGGTCGTCAGGGAGAAGATCATGAGAATGGTCCAGGAGGAAATCTCGAAGAATGAACATTTTGTAACCGCTTTGAGAGCCTGGCAGGAAATTAAAGTCTTTCGCGCTAGTCACAGGTTCGTTATTTTTTCCTTTGGCATTTACGATCCAAAACTTGAAACGGACGGCAAGGGGACTCTTTGGAGAGCTCAGCAACTCGAGGTAAACTGACAGGTAATCTGAGCTTTCTTCATCGACCCCCTTAGGGTGAACTCTCAAACACCATTTGTCATTGTCCCTCATTGAGAAAGTTGGGCTTCTAATACTGTCCCTCATTTCCTCCAGAATAAAACGGAAATTGTGGATGGTCCACTTGCAGGTAAAATTCGGGATGTTGAACTGTTTATAGCCCCAGTTCTTATTTATGATGTCCCATGACATTTTTTCTAGAGGTAGTTTGAAGGTTAAACTGGATCCAAAATGAAAAACTATGTCTTCTTTTGCCCTGTAGGATACAATAATAGGCATGATATATATTTTTAGCTTCTGTTTCTCCTCTGTTCCCTCTTCTAGGAGCCAGAAAACTCGAGTCTCTGAAATTATCCAGATTTCAATTCTACTTTTAGTGTGGGTAGACTAGGCTACAAGGTTCTAGCACTTCTTTTTTTTTCTAGATTGAATCTTAGGTCAGTGGATTTCTAATTTTGAGAATCATACACAACGTTTGATAATTTACAACATTTTATATACTCATCCAAAATTTTGCACAGTCATTCTCTAATGTAACAAAACATACCCAAGTACTCTCTCTATAAACAAAGTGATTCATTAGAATGACTTAGGGCTGCAGTCCTTCTACTCCCACAATGGCTACCTGTGAAGGGAGAGTCCAAGAATCCAGTACTTACTCAGTACAGGAGAATAGACGTGCCGAATGGTCTTCAATCTATGCTGGAATTGGGATGAAGAATTCTCTAATGCCAGTGAAGGAATGGTCTCGCTGGAAGGTGAGGACAAGCAGGCTATGAGCAACTGCTTCCTCCACGTTTTTTTTTTTATAGGCTCCCAGGAGGCAGAAGGCGTGGCCCAGCTACAGGTGTGTCCTTCAGACTCTAGATATGGATTAAAGGTGTGTTCTTAAGGTCTTGAGATAAATGTTCACGTTTTTCTGCCTCCAAAGTGTGTCTGTGAAGTGCTGTACCTACTTCAACTTAAGCAAAAACATTTCTCACAGTCGTGCCGCCTGTCTTAGGATTATAGTTAATTCCAGGTGTAGTCAAGTCAGGAGCCAAGAACAACAATCCCAAGAGAATTTGCTTACTAGGGTCAATCTTTATAAATAAGGGAATGGTGTCCATTCCTACACAGCTGTTATTACTCTTCTCATGTTTTTATATGAATTCCTCCCGTACACACGATCTGGGAAGAGAGGCTTTTCTTACCCCGTCAGTGTTCACAACAGGAAGGTCAGGGTGGAAGAATTCATATAAGGAGGCAGGAAGTAGAGCCAGTCAGGATTCTCTGAAAGTGGCTGTCTTCCTTCCTGCTTTTTATTCCATTCAGACTCACAGTCCCTGGGATGGCTCCACTAAATTTATTGGTGGTCTTTCTGGTCTTCTTCAGTTAACCCTCCTTATACTCTCTTCCTGATCCACTTAGGAGTGTGCTATGAGAAAATTCTAATTACTTCTCATTTCCATCAATCAGACTGCCGAGATTCAGGGTCTCATTACCTCATAATTTTCCTCCTCAGTGGTGAGTTCTGTTCTTTAACTTTGAACTTCCATGCTTACCATGCTGGACCTTAAAGGTGAGAGAGTATTCTGGTTTCTAAAGGGTGCAGAATATTTTCAACAGTTACTGAAGAAGGGACTTTGAGATGCTTCCCTGTCACCTTAGATTGCGATCTGTAAAATGCTCCCTACATCTATTATGTGTCTCGAACTCATCATGTCTGTAGGGACACACAAAGCCTAGAGGACAGGAAAATAACATCAATGATTCAATTCTGTTAACAATACCCAGCCTAGCTCTCCTGGAAGTCTGGCTCCCATGCTACTCATCCCCCAAGGTAGGAGAAATCAATCAATTGGTTTTGAGCTCCTAATTTTGTATGTGGGTAACTAAATAACATCAGTGACTCTTTTCTATTTGGGTTTGGGACAGGGTGGCACATACCCCTTCCCTCCAATGTGTGATTTGAGTGATGGTAGGCAGTCAGTGCAGGACCCTCATTTGTGAAAGAAATTCTTTACATTGCTGTAACACCCGATTCCGGTGTTACACCCTCGGTACAGTTCGCGCGCAGCTGTACCGAATGCGAGTCCGGGCAAGGACCTAGAGATTGAACACAAGACACAGAGACCAGGGTCATTCGATAGGAGATCAAGCGAATGCCGTTTATTCAGACTTGGGGAAGCCCTTATCTACCTAACTGCAGCGCAAAGATCTCTCCGCCCAGGCAGGTGGGAAATTACCATATTAACAATGGAGAAGATTCCCTGTAGCTAATCATCCAGGCGGGGCAGGGATAGCAGGAAACACACGGGAAGCTTAGTTAACTGATTATAAACTGTCCCCACCAATGCACCCCAGGAATAAGGGAGACCAGGGGCCCACACATTGCCAGCCTGGGTTTCCCAGGAGCATGCTCCTGAAGAGAACAGCAGATTTTCATGGGGAACCTAGAGTTCCCTGTGGTTCAAGTACAGGATTTGTTCTTATAGAGAATTATTCTCAAACTCTAATACAGAGCTACAGTACTGAAAACAGCCTGGTATTGGCATAATAACAGACAGGAGGATCAATAGAACCTAGTAGAAGACCCGGATATCAATTGAACAGCTTTGAACACCTGATTTTTGACAAAGAAGCAAAAAATATCAAATGGAAAAAAGAAAGCATATTTAACAAGTGGTGCTGGCATAACTGGATATCAACATGTAGAAGAATGAAAATAGACCCATATCTAGCACCATGCACAAAACTCAAGTTCAAATGGATCAAAGACCTCAACATAAAGCCAGCCACGCTAAACCTTATAGAAGTGAAAGTGGGAAGTACACTTGAATACATTGACACAAGGAACCACTTCCTAAATATAACTTCAGCAGCACAGACACTGAGAGAAACAATTAATAAATGGGACCTCCTGAAACTAAAAGGCTTCTGTAAAGCAAAGGACACAGTCAACAAGACAAAACGACAGCCTACAGAACGGGAAAAGATTGTCACTAACCCCACAACAGACAGCAGTTTGATCTAGAAAATATACAAAGAACTCAAGAAATTGGACACCAAAAGATCTCATAATCCAATAAAAAAAATGGAGTACAGACCTAAACAGAGAATTTTCAACAGAGGAATCTAAAATGGCTGAAAGACACTTAAGGAAATGTGCAACAGCCTTAGTCATCAGAAAAAGACAAATCAAAACAACTCTGAGATTCCATCTTAGGTCTGTAAGAATAGCCAAGATCAAAAACACTGATGACAACTTATGCCGAAAAGGGAACACTTCTGCATTGCTGGTGGGGATGCAAGCTGGTACAACCCCTTTGGATGTCAGTGTGGCGATTTCTCAGGAAATTAGGAAAGAAGCTTCCTCAAGACCCAGTAATACCACTTTTGGGGATATATCCAAAGGATGCTCAATCGTGCCACAAGGTCATGTGCTCAGCAATGTTCATAGCAGGTTTGTTTGTCATGGCCAGAACCTGGATACAACCTAAATGCCCCTCAACCAAAGAAAGGATAAGAAAAATGTGGTACATTTACACAATGCAGTATTACACAGCAGAAAAAAAAATAATTACATCTTGAATTTTATAGGAAAATGGATGGAGCTAGAAAACATTATTTTGAGTTAGGTAACCTAGACAAAGAGAAAATATTATTACTTGTACTCACTTATAGGTGGCTTTTAAACGTAAAGCAAAGACAACCAGCCTACAAATCACAATCCCAGAGAATTTAGATAACAATGAGGACACTAAGAGAGACTTACATATATCTAATCTATATGGAAAGTAGAAAGTAGAAAAGACAAGATCTCCTGAGTAGATTGGGAGTACGGGGACCCTGGTGGAGGTCTGAAGGCAAAGGAGAGAGGCACAGAGGGGAGCAGAGAAAAATGTAGAGCTAAATAAAAATCAATAAAAAATAAAAAATAATAATGCCTCTGCTTGCTTCTACCCAACAGAGTCCCCTGGACAAAATACTGCTACCAAAAAATCCATGCTTAACTCTGTTCTTTTGTGTTTAGGATTCCTTTCCAAGCTTTCCCAGACTTTCTGTAGATGTAGTCAGCTCTATATTTGCAGGTCAATCTTAGGGGAGGCTCTTGTTTGTTCCTCGCTGCTTAGAGCTGAAATAATCACTCTGAAATGATATAGCTTAAGAATATTTCTAGCTTGATCTTATATCCTAAATTACCTCAATTCCATCAATCTGTATATCTCCACATGGCTGTGGCTTACTGGGTAAAGTTCCATCTAGCATCTGTCTCTGGCAGGGCTACATGGCTTCACACCTACTCTGCTTACTCTCTGTCTCTCTCTGTCTTCTTACCTGGCTTTACTCTGTTAAGCCATTGGCTGAAAGCAGCTTCTTTATTAACCAATGGCAATAAAACTTATTCACAGCATACATCACCTCCCACATCAGATCTCTTAATTATCTATCCAAATCCCAAAGTGTTTTCAGTGTAGATAGTCTAGGCTACCATGGGCTGTTCTATCACTTCATTTTTTTAAAGATTGAATCTTAGGTCAGTAGATACCCAACTTTGCCGGTTACACACACCTTTTGATCATAGGAGACATTTCATACACTTATATCAAAAATGTTTTACCTGGGTTCTCTGCAGTAACAGAACATATCGAGTGACTCTCTCTCTCTCTGTATGAACAAAGGAGATCCACTAGAATGACTTAGGGCTGCAGTCCTGCTAATCCTACAATGGCTACCTGTGAAGGAAAAGTACAAAAATCCAATTCTTACTTAGTCTAGGACGTTAGATATGTTGGCTTGTCTTCAGTATATGCTGGAGTTCTGAAGAATTTTCTAATAGCAGTGAAGTAATAGACTTGCGTCAAAGTGATGGCAAGCAGGCAAAGAGTAATATCTTCATTCTTCCATGTCCTTTTATAGGCTTCCAGAAGGCAGAAGGTACTGCCCAATTAAAGATGTGGCTAGAAACCTCAAGACTCAAGACATGAATTAAAGGTACATGTCTTCAGGCCTGGACATCCGGATTCAATGTTTGTGTCTTTCTAACATCTGTATTTGAAGTGATCTACCCACTTACACTTAATGAAAGCCTTTCTCACAGTTGTGCCCTCTATTTTAGGATTTTAGTTAATTCCAGGTGTGGTAAGGTGGGAAGCAAGAATATCCATCACAGGTGCATTTTGCTTATGGGGGTTAATCTTCCATAAGTAAAGGAACGGTGTCCATTCCTACACAGCTGTTATTACTTTTGCCAT